AAATGACACGTTCAAGGTTATTCATTATAGCATTACTCAGAATAACAAGATTGGAAAAATCTAAATTTACATTAATAGATTGTTGTTGTTGTTTTGCCATCGAGTCGCCCCAACTCATAGCGACCCCTCCTTGGGTTTTTGAGGCAGTATCACTACAAAAGTAGATTGCCCAACCCTCCTTCTGAGTAGGGACTGGTGGGTTTGAACAACCAACCTTCCGGTTAGCAGTCAATTGCCTTAGGCACTACGCTACCAGAGATCCTAGAAAGAGATGGCCCCAGCCTACCGTGGCGGGAGCGGCGGGTGGGTTTGAACCGCCAGCCTTGCGCTTGGCAGGCGACTGCCTTGGGCCCGAGGCCATCCTCTAGGCACACATTAATAGATTAGTTAAATAAATTATGGTACATTGCCCTTTGGAATCATAGGCACACATAGAAAGGAGTGAGGAACATTCTTTATTATTGGAGTGAACACCAAGATATATCATTAATGAAAAAAGCAAGAGGCACTATTTGCTACTGGATTCATTAAAAAAAATAAAAGAATATATGTATATTTGTTTCTGTATACACAAATAGTTCTGGAAGAGTACACACACACACATACACAATGATAACATTAATTATCTCCTGGAAGGGGAGCTGCGTAACTGGTGAACAGAGGTAAGAGGAAGATTTTTCACTGTGTATGCTTTTGTACTCCTGGAGCTATATAATAGTACCTATTAAGTAAATAAATAAATGCAGTCTTTAAAAAGAAGCCAAATAAATATATTTTCTTAACCTACAAAGCATTACCACCTACAGACTCTGACTGAAAGCATGATGTATTCTAGCAGAAACAAAAGTGAACCTAGAGAGGAAGCATGTGGTATTGGAAACAGCAGGGAGTCCAAAAATTAGTTTAAAAAACTGGTCATTATTGACTATAATAAGAAATATTTACATATGTTTAGCAAAACTTGGAAGTTATTGTGACCTTGACAAGAGAGACTAATTGGATTGGCTCAAAAGTAGAAGAGTAGAAGAATTGGGAATTATAATTACAGGTAGCTTTGCTGGGAAAAGATGCATTATTGATTAGGTGGTAGATAAGGGAAAGGGGGAGCAAAAACATTTTTTTAAGATTAGAGTTATAATAGCATGGTTGTATGCTAATAAGAATGATAAGATAGAGATGAAAAATTGATAATGTGAGAGAAAAGGAAGAAAAAATTGCCAGAGCCTTGTCTTTGACTAGGTGAAATAGGATGGGATCCTAGCACAAGAGTGATGGAATTGGCCATGGCTGGTCTATAAGGTTAGAGGGAAGATAATATCTGATGATGATTCTAGTTATAGTAGAGGTGGTGACAGAAGCCTGTGAAACTGTAGTCTGATTTTGTTTATTCATAGGGAAATGGGAAGAAAAGTCCTATGCCACCAGAGCTCCTTTTAGAAGAGAGAGGAGGAGGTATAATATCATTGTTGGGGGAGAGAGCCTGCAATGTTACGATGTTCAGGCAGCGCCAAGTACCCATTTGAGATGAATGGCTCTGCATTTGAAGTGAGAGCAATCAAGGTGGTTGTATGTTTCTCCACAACCATTCAGCTGTTCAGGAACAGCCCAGAGGAAGTAGAAAGTTCAGTATAACCTGGTTGGGACTTTGCCAGGCAAATTTAACAAAGGAGGAGAAAGAGAGAAGGGAGCTATAACAACAAAAAAATCACGAACCTGTTGACAATGCATTGATTCTGACTTAGAGCAACTCTTTAGGACAAGGTAGAACTGTCCCAAAGGGGTTCCACGGCTATCATTACAGAAGGAAAGTACCTTATCTTTGTCTTATGAAGCGGCTGGTAGGTTCTTCTAACCTTTTGCTTAGCAGCCAAATGCTTTGACCAGTAAACCACCAAAGCTCTAGGTTGTTGTTAGGTGTTGGGGAGTTGGCTGTGACTCAGAGACCCTGTGTACAACAACGAAATACTGCCCAGTCCTGTGCCATCCTCACAATTCTTGTTATGCATGAGCTCATCATTGCAGCCACTTTGTCAGTCCATCTTTTTGAGGGTTTTCCCCTTTTTTGCTGAGCCTCTACTTTACCAAACATGATAAGCTTCTCCAAGGAATGGTTCCTTCTGGCAACGTGACCAAAGTAGGTAAGATGAAATCTGGCCATTCTCTCCCCTAAGGAGCATTCCAGCTGCACTTATTCCAGGACAGATTTGTTTCTTCTGTAAGTCCATGGTATTTTCAATATTCTTCACCAGTGCCACAATTCAAAGTCATCAATTCTTCTTTGATCTTCCTTGTTCATTGTCCATCTTTCACATGCATGGGTGATTTAATATACCATGGCTTTGATTAGGCTCACCTTAGTCTTCAAAGTGACATCTTTGTTCTTTAACACTTTAAAGAGGTCTTTTGCAGCAGATTTGCTCAGTGCAAATACAACCTCTGATTTCTAGACTGATACTTCCATGGGTGTTGATTGTGGATCCTAGTAAAATGAAATCCCTGACACCTACAGTCTCTACAGGTGTATGCAAATGAGTGATTAAAATGAAGAACTCCAAAATTAAAGCTGAGAAAGAAGAAGGAAGCTGTCAGGTATAAAGACAGTGAAAAGGTGGTCAGATCAGTGGGTTGTAGTTCTAAATGAGGTTGAACAAGTAAATCAAGCTTGAATGACCATATCTTAGAAAAAAAAATTCCAATACCAGAAATTTAGTGAAAATTCAGAACTATATATTTAAACAAATCAACCAACTAGAGCTAATTACTCTCATTTACTTAGGAATTTCAAGCATTGATGGTTTTCCTCTATATTTTTCTAGATGTAAGAAGGTAGAATTTCAGTGTGTCATCTCTATATCTCAAACTGTTACGCTGGGAGATTAGATGTCCCAGGGGAACTCTGCTCTCATTTAGCTTTCCAGACTAATGTTGTGCTCTGTAGGTGTCAAGTAAGAAGAAAACCATATGGAATATCATATGGCTAGTGGCTGTTTAAGAAAGTATAATTGATCTTCTCTTTGCCTACCACCTGAGCAATGAATATAATGTCTGACTTGTAAAAAGGGTAAGTGTCATCACAGTGAACCATATTTTACTCAGAAGAATAAAAAATCAGAACTGGAGACTTTTATTTGATCACCTTAATTTACAGATAAGTAAATTGAAGCCCCAGGGAATACTGTGTCTTGCTTAAAATCCTTCATTATAAAACTATTGTTATTCATAGTTTAAAAGCCCAGCCTTTAAAGTCACTCTGTGGTTTCTTAACATATGAGGATTGTGTCCTTAGCATATTAGATTGTTAATTTTTTCAGATATATCATTATTTTTTTTTCATTGTGTGAGTCATCGCATGTTTCACTTCCATGATACCTCCTGTATTCATCCTGATAATTAAATGAACAATGACATTTCTAAGTTCTATTTAACTTTCTTATTAAGAAAGATTTAGGTGATTAAAAGCTTCTAAAATTATTCTGTGAAAAATGATCAAATGTTGATGTTATCCAGAAGGGGATGGTGTACTTAGAAGGATGTCTCCATTCTGCCCTTGACTCTAGCAGGGGAAGACATAGTAATTAATCAACTTAGTGAATCAAATTAACTTAAGAACTAGAATTCTTGTATCTTAGCTTCAAGAAAGTGAAATATGTTGATGGCAGAGCAATTGAAAGTGTTTCAAGGTTTCTGCATTTAAATGTCTTAAAATGTTCTAGTAGATGTATTAGTGCTTTGTGCAATATTTATCATTATGATTGTTTTTAAAATCAAATATTCATTTTTATGTGAAAGACTAATTGGAATATTCTTTTGTGTTTGTTATGCATAAGAGAGTCACTTTTTCATATTTTATATGAAAATATAGAGGTTTAGAAGATTGGTATTACCCAGTGTTAAAAAGGGAGCTCTGGTAGCATAGTGCCTAAGGTACTTGACTGCTAACCAGAAGGCTGGTGCTTCAAACTCACTAGCCACTCCTCAGAAGGAAGATGAGGCAATCTACTTCTGTAGTGATACTGCCTCGGCAAGCCAAGGAGGGGTCGCTATGAGTCAGGTCTGACTCGACAGCACATAACAACAACAACAACAAATGTTAAAAAGAATATAGGAGAAATCAGCCCTCTTAAAGTTATCTTTCTAGATGGTATATTCTCAAAAGCCAGCAAAAGGTACATATCTTCAAAACAAAGATTCCATTTCTCTGAATTTATGCTGAGGAACAAAATGGCCAAGCATGTAAAATTATGTAACAAGGATGGTCATAGAAACTGTTTGTAAAGGAAAAAATTCAAAAACTACCTCCATGTACAGTATTTATGAGAGTCATAAATTATGACAAAATTGTAATTCACCCATAACATGGAATATTATATAACCTTTAAAATAGTATGTGGATTTATATCTTACTCTGTTGGTTTAGTATATTATATTCCCTTTTAAATATATTCCACATTACACAGAAATGTATAGTATGTATATAAATGTATACTAATAAAATATGTGTATGATTCTATTGCAGGGTATGTGTGTGTGTGTGTGTGCACCTGCATGTGTCTGTGTGTGGACAATGTATACATGTTGTTAGTATATATGGAGAAGATTCCAGAAGACTGTGCACTAAATATTAAGAGATTTATGTTGTGATAATGAAGAGTATGTTTATATGGGGTATTTTTATTTTCTGCTTTCTACTCATGAATTAGATATTCTTTTATATTATATTATAAAAATTAAGAATTTACATAAATAAGTAACTTAACATGGATTTAAATAATTACAAGTCATTTGTTCTTCCTTGGTAGATATATTGGTGACTTGATCTCCTGGCAAAATACTTGGGTTATTAAAATCAGTATTTAAAACAGTGGTTAGGTTTTGCTGAGTTATTTGATTTCATATCTTCAGTGATTTTAATTGGAGAAATTGTATCAGGGCAAATAAACACTTGATTGCATTATATAATGTTTACAAGTCCATATTATTATTATTTTTTCCCTTTGCAGATGGTGACGCTAAGATCCAGTCTGAAAGACGACTGTATACAGTAAGTCTGCCTCCTGTGGGATATATTCCAGATTTGCCAGAGTTGAACATTCGCGTGGATTCTGAGAACTCTTCCAGCAATGATGACAGAGAAGGTAAAAATGTGGTCCTCTGGGGATAGAGAGGAAATGTTAACATCTTTGAAGATAAAGCACAACTTTTAAAATTTTCATTGTTATAAATTTATCATTAGAGGAGTATGGGTAAGCATATCATTGTATAATCACACAATGGACTGTTACATATTTTAAAGTTGTTTTAAAAGATTGTAAAAAAATTAGAATAATAGGAAAAAATACTTAGAATGGGGGATATAAAGTTGGATTATGATTATAGTTTTATTTGTTACGGTGATTGAAGAAATCTGAAATTAAATAGATCATAATGTTAATAGTACTTGTCTTGGTTTAGTAGAATATTTATTTCCCAAAATTTTCAAACTCTCTGAGGTAGTATAACATTTTTATAATCATGGAAATAACTCATTCTGTATCTTTTTTGGGAAAAAATTAAATTATTAGACTTGCTTTTGTTGTTGAATGTCTTATGAATGAGGAAAATAAGGCAGAGGAGCAAAGAGATGCTCAGTACAATTAAAATTTATTATGGAAGATGTAAATGCTGATGTTGCACATTAAATTTTTAGCTTGAAAACTGAGGTGGGTCTGCAAGAAAAAAAATCCATTGACCCATGTCACTTTAGTTTTGTGTATTTCACTGTACATAAATTACACTTAAGTAAAATATATTTTAAAAAAAAAGCATGGAATACTCCCAAATTCATTTTATGAAGCAAGCAAAAAAAAAAAAAAGAAAGAAAGAAAGAAAAAGAAAAGTGAGGTGGTTGTTTTTCCCTTGAAGTTGATCATTTGAAATACTTCTTTAAGAGGTATTTAGAATTTTTAAATAAAAATTTTACCAAGATGATATTTAGCAATTATAAACCATGAAACTATAGACTATAGGCTTTAATTGAATTGAATATCTATAGAATGTGGTTTTCTAGTACATTGATCTTTCTGCCTTTCTAAAGAAAGGATCAGAAACCATAAAACCCAAAAAAGGTTGTTAAGGAGAAAGGTTGTCAAACCCAGTTGAAATACAATTATTACATAAATTAATTATTTAGTAGTTGTTATGTGCCATCAAGTTGGACCCGACTTATAGTGACCCCTCTTTGGGTTTCTGAGGCTGTATCACTACAGAAGTACCTTGCCCAACCTTCCTTCCAAGGAGTGGGTGGTGGCTTTGAACAGCAGTCAAGTACCTCAAGCACTACGCTACCAGAGCTCCTAATTATTTAGTTAGAACATTTAATTATGTTCTTTTGCAGGTAAAATTATTTTGGTGAATATGATTCATCATATACTTAATATGTTCAGTAAGAAAATATGTTGGACTCATTCACGTGCTATTGTATACAGTTAGCTCTGTTGATAATGTCAATGAGGAAAGGTCTGTGTAGGAATCCTAGTTGAGAAAACTTCACTTTGTCCCTCCATGACCAAATACCACTTCCCAAAATGGTTATATCAAGGACTAAGCTAAAGTGAGCTTTGGTAGTGTAGTGCCTAAGGCATCTGACTGCTAACCAGAAGGCTGGCAGTTGAAACCCAGCAGCCACTCCTTAGAAGGAAGGTTGGCCAATCTATTTCCATAGTGATACTGCCTCAGAAACCCAAGGAGGGGTCTCTATGAGTTGGATCTGACTCCACAGCAGTGTGTTTGGTTTCTTTTGGAAGCTAAAGTGATGTCATTATAAGAAATGGAAAGGTATTTGTGGAAATAGACAGATATTTCTCTTACAAACAGCAATCTCTGGAAGGTGTATACTCAATTCCCTACATTGGTCTCTTTTTCCTTATTCTGTTTCTCCCAGTGCTAAAGCGGGGTGAGAGAACAGGAGGGGCCCTGGTACCAGCTGCTACTCCTAATAGTTGTAGATTGGGTAGATCAAAGCCTGATTTCTCTCAAAACAAACAAGCCAACAAAACCTCCAAAGACTACATAGTTAAAGAAAAGGGGAATTAAGTAAGATTAGCATTCATTTGATTTAAATTGCTTTGATAACCTGTTTTAACTTATACAGTAAGTTGGATTATAACTTTTATTATGTTACATTTTTATTAGTTATTTCTTAGGTAAAAAAATTCCTATTAATTTATTATTCCCGGGAGCTCTGGTGGCGTAGTGCCTAAGGCATTTGACTGCTGATCAGAGGGCTGGCAGTTTAAACCCAATAGCCACTCCTCGGAAGAAAGACTGGGCAATCTATTTGCATAGAGATACCACCTCAAAAACCCAAGCAGGGGTCACTATGAGTCAGAATCAACTGGATGGCTGTGAGTTTTTTTCATTTTTTTTTTGGTTTACATCATAGCAGTAAATGTTGAGAGAAATTTAAATGCGTTATTTTCTTTTCCCAGAGGCAAGTGTTTAGGGAAGAAGGTGATAGAAACATTGGGTGATGGTAGCTGCAACTGGGTAGGTTGACCAGTCCTATTTTCCTTCAAAGGAGAAAGAAGATAAAATAAGGAAATTGTTTTAGGATCAACTAATGAACTTGAGGGAGCTCTGGTAGTGTAGTGGCTAAGGCACTTGACTGCTAACCAGAAGGCTGGCGGTTCAAACCCACCAAACCACTCCTCGGAAGGAAGATGGGCAATCTACTTCCATAGTGATACTGCCTCGGAAACCCAAGAAGGGGTCGCTATGAGTCGGGTCTGACTCGAAGGCACATAACAACAACAATGAACTTGAAGATTACACCAGTAGGGGCCAAGGCATTCCCTGTTACTTAATACAGTAAGATTTGTATGTTTTTGATCCATTCTGACTTCTTAAGCCTTGTTCTATCAACTCTGACTGGTAAGGTTTCATTAACCTTCAATCTGAATTCAAATTCCTCATCTACTAACTTCCAGTTATGAACTCCATGTTGATTTATCCATGATGATTCTGGCACTGTTCGTAGATTATCATTCTGCAGTACGCTTAGTTTGGAGTATGGCATTCTATCTTCTCATTGCTAGACCATTCTACATCAGTCAGTGACTAAATGGCTTATCTCTGATTTTCAGAAGCAGATCCTTCAAGAGGCTCTTTTAATTTAATTGAGTAAGTTAAAGCTAACCTAAACATTAACCCAGTTTTTTAGAAGAACTATGAATAACTTCTTAATCAAACTCAAGAAGGTAGTATCTTTAAATTTTAAACACTTCTGACTTTACCTCCACTTTTTTTGTTTTAAATTATCTGTTCACTATTAAACCTCATGGGGTGGGCCCTGTTTGAAATGATAAATTTAGGGAAAAAATGTATAATTAATCATACACTGATCACATGAACTTCCTACATTTGTTCTCTGAAATGAAGGAATGTACTGATAAATCAACATTACATTCAGGTTGATGGTGATTGGGGTCAGTTTGCAATTTGTACTACTAGCGCCTGTTGCATTTCTATGGGACCACTTTTCCTTGTTTCCCTATGACCACCCTACAAATCTCCATGCTTTGTGGATGTAGGGGTGAGGGAGCACTGCTGTTCTGATCTTGAAGTAAGAAGTGACAGTTCATAAGTCTACATGACCTCTCCTGTCCCTTTCTGATTGCTTCTATGAAAGCAATACATAAAAGGAATCAAAAGAATAAGAGAGAAAGATATTTTAAATTCTTTCAGTTGCAATTTTAAGCAAAGAGAACAGGAGAACTAAAAGGGAAAAAGTTGAATTATTACTATTTTCTCTTTGAATGCCTAGGACCAGTAAATCAATTAAATAGAAATTTCTAGGAAACTGCAGGAAAAAAGTACTGATTAAATTTTTGCCTTTACTGGAAGGAAGGTTGGGCAATCCTACTTCCGTAGTGATACTGCCTCGGAAACCCAAGGAGGGGTCGCTATGAGTCAGGGCCGCCTCGACGGCACATAACAACAATAACAACCATTGAATAGGAGCTCTGGTAGCATAGTAACTAAGGCACTTGACGGCTAACCAGAAGGCTGGCGGTTCAAACCCACCAGCCACTCCTCGGAAGGAAGGTTGGGCAATCTACTTCTGTAATGTTACCGCCTTGGAAACCCAAGGAGGGGTCGCTATGAGTCGGGGCCGACTCGACGGCACATAACAACGACAGCCATTGAATAGTAGTCACTATACTAGCTGCTTTATATACATTTTCATTTAAGCTTCAGGACAGGCCTGTTACATAATCATGAGCCTCTTTATGACTAAACAAACCAAGACTTAGAGCAACTACTAATTTGCCTCAAATCATCCAAATAGTAGGTGGCAGATAGACTATCTAAACCAAAGTTTGTATTCCTTATGTTTATTCAGTGTCCGTTGAGACCCAGCTTCTCTGTTACCTCCAAGAAACCTTATATAAACCCCCTAGTCAAGGTCAGGCATGCCTCTTGCATGCATTGCCAGAACTAGCACTTACTGTAAGTATCTGTTTTCTTATCCATCTGCCCTAAACTCTTTGTCCTTTGTACCTGGCACAGTGCCTTGTAAAAAATAAAAATTTAATGTTTGTAAACTATGCCAATTAGTTTATTTCAGGACCTGAGTACATTTGTTATGAAGATAAGCGTATTACCTAGAAATCAGGACAGATTTGAAGGAAATCAGGTGATTAACCTAAATATCATTCATTTTTTCCACACTCTATCTGTCCTGTCTTTGTTTCCTTCTTTGAGTAATCAGTCTCTCTGGAATGGAATCTCCAAATACAACAACAACAGACTATGAATTCATTAGGCTTAAATTTTGTTAGGAATGGATAGGAAGTAATTGTAGGAAAATAAGATAACATTGTTAAACTTAAATTTCAATCTTATATGACTTAATAATAGACTTTTTATTCTAGAACCTCTCTCTACTTCTGTTTGATTGATTTAAATAACTTGGCATAGCTGTATATAAAAATATATCCTCCTTCCTGCCTTAGAAATTGCTAGTATTTCCCTTTGTGTTGTTGATATTATGTTGCATGTTGTTCTAAAGAAGCCAGTAAACCTTTGGCCTGTTACTGATAATGACAACTGGATATATATTGTGCCAAAAGAAAATCATCCATTTTTGCAGACGTTC